AGCATACAAAAAAAATTGCCTATGAAAGTCCGTGATTTTTACTACCGATTAGAATACCTGGCCCCTCACCCCTCGGTCCCTTATTAAAATCTCTTGGAAATGATACTTTTTTTTCTTTTTTGCATGAAAAATATACAATTTCTTATCTTTACGATTTAATCGTCATGACATTGCAGATATTTCTATGCCAACGTTTAACTCTTGCCCAGCAAACGTCAGAGTCTTCGCTGATAGAAAAAGCTGGTCAACTCAGGTGAACTGGACCATTCCTACAGCATCGGATAACGCCCCTGGCAGCCCAACAATTAGTCACCATGGGCAACGGCCTGGCGAATTATTTTCTGCAGGACATCACACTATCAAGTACGTCGCCACTGATAAATCTGGGAACAGCGCGTCTTGCATTTTTCAAGTCAGCGTCGAAGGTAGGGTTTGAGAATGTCTTTAAGAAGAGCTTCATCGATATTTGGTGTTATAACGTCCTATTTTGTTTTTCCTGTTGTAGTTGTAACTTGCCCAGCACTACAGACGCCATTGCGTGGATACATGCAATGTTCAAACAAGAACATCTTTGGTTCTGAATGCCAGTTTGTATGTAACCTTGGATACACACTCAGAGGTTCACAGCAACGAACGTGTGAAAAGAACGCACTGTCACTGGGATATTGGACGGGAAACTCAACCTATTGTGAAGGTTTGAATAAAACCTTAGAAAAGAATTTATTGTATGTTAATAAAACTCAAAATACTTTGAAAGTGTCCTTCACGTAATGGCATGGATTTCAGAAAAACCTCTTTTATTGGTTGAGCCATCACGCCTCATCAACTTGAATTAACAAATCAAAGTAGATCAGAGTATCAAACACAGAAAACTGTTTTTGATTTGTTTTATAAAATAACAAACGCGCGAAAAGATCGAAAAAAAGCAAAGTCTAAGTAAATTCTCCCTACGTGCCGTCTTATTCAACCTGACCAATGAGCGCGCGCGATAGATTAAAAATGACGATAGCGTGTTTTGATACTCTCATCAAACATGGTTTTCGACCAATCATAGCGCGCGTAGTATTCCAATTATTTTATAAATTTAATTCTTGAACTGGTTTCTCACTGGACATGGTTCCGAACTCCTTCTTACGCATGCACATACGATGCTTTTGTATGTCTTTTTATCTTCAAATTTTTCATCGGATTTAAAATAACCCTTAACAATGGTTAAACATTATCAGTTAATTAAGCAATCTCTTTTTGTATTTCTTTCCTTTGATAAAATAGCAATTACATGTCCCAACCTTGATCACCCTGTGAATGGATTCAAATCAGGATGTTCGAGAAACACATTCGGAGAAAATTGTCTCTTCTACTGTAACATTGGCTCGCGGGTTGTGAATGGCTCTGCCAGCAGAACGTGTTTACAGAACGGGACGTGGTCAGGAACGTCATTAATCTGTGAAGGTTTGTTTGTAAAATTCGTAGAATCGTTCGTTTTGTAAATAAGTTATCATTGAAAAAAATTTTTTTCTCAATATAAAGAAGTATATTACAATTTTTTATCTAACCCAACGAAATTGTACACACCGTTTTTATTCATGCAAAGTCCTTAGATATTATGGCAGAACACGAGCAAAAATAATTCTTCTGGGAACTTTAAAAGGTCGTCAGAATCGTACTACCTTTTCTAATATCTGATTGAGTTGGCCGCATTTATTTAGTTTTATTATTTGATATACACGAAGTAACATTTACTTGCCTTTCTCATATGTAGGAATCACTTGCCCAGCCCTAGCTGTACCTGCCAAAGGACGCATCATTCCCAATGAATGCTACAATACGGTTGGATACAGAGTTTCTTGTCAGTTTGTGTGTGAAAATGGATATCAGTTGATGGGATCAAACATCAGAACCTGTTTGGCAAATGGTCAATGGAATGACCAAAGCAACGTCAGTTGCAGAGGTAAATGTTCTAAAAACTAAATGTTATGCATGTTTCTCTAATTATAAGTCACATATATATAGAGTGCTGCTCAGTTTGTTGAGCTGCGTGAGGTTAGCTTAGCTTACCGATGTCAGTACCAGGTAGGTTTGTAAGTTGTTTGTTAGTTAAATGGAGGGTGGTTAGGTAAGTTGGGTTGGTTGGCGGTTTCCTCATTTGATCAGTTGACAGACTTTACCTTTTATTTGTTCCCAATGGTGCCTTTTTTGGTTAGAGGGCGATATATTAAGTGAAAAGCAAGGTGATCGGTTTTCGTGGTTGGTTCCTTCATTGCAAAGCTGCTTGATCCTTGTGGTTCTTATGGCTTACTTGATTTGTTATATCTGTAATACATTACTTACGTCTTCCAGACATCGAGACACCCAGATTTACAACATCCTGTCCATACAACATCGACGTTTTTGCGGAGGAAAACAAAGATACAGCGCAGGTAATCATCCCACCAATGAATGCCACAGATAATTCAGGTGAATTGCCAACCATTAAAGTAGAAGGAACAAAGACAAACTACACTGCTGGAAGACACCTGATAACAATAACAGCATCTGACGCATCGGGCAACAAGGCGACTTGCAGATTCTACGTCGAAGTAACAAGTAAGCTGAATATAAATCTAGATCTAGATCTTGATCTTCTGTTAGTTTAGTCGTAATCGAAATGATAATTATGAGATCTCTGTTGGATACTCGAAAAGTGTAAAACCGATGAACAAACAGGATTTTTCTTCCTTTTGTAACTCCTTTTTTTCACTCTCAATATTTCAAATATTTTTCGTTTAGTTCTCCGATGCTATTCTCACCCATCGTACATAACAAACGGGAGAGTTGTAGGCGTATGCAAGAATACCTATGGTTCTACTTGCCATTTTCAATGCAATGATGGTTATAATATCACTGGCTCTAGCTCTAGGACGTGTAAAGCCATCCCAGGACAAATCCAGGGATATTGGACCGGAACCATGCCTTTTTGTTCAGGTAAGTAAGGAGTTTAGATTATTTCTTAACCTATTTCCAGTTTTTGTTTGGTTTTAAACTCTTCCTATGATCTCTAGTGGTAAGATTGCATATAGACCCCTTGCATGTGAAGTCAAAGCAGCTCGATCCTGAGAATGGGAACCTATTGTTTTGTTCTTCAGATTGATCGAGCTACATTCCAAAGTGCTGCAAAGGGGTCTATACTGACCTATTGTTTACAACAGAAATGTAAGCTACCAGCCAGTTAATACGGATTTGAAGTTCTTATTTACTTTTTCCCCCAATCAATTGTTGCAGTAAATCGCTGTCCTCCCCTCCAACGTCCAGCAAATGGTTACGTGTATCCTCCAATGTGTGTAGCCAGCAACGGACCAGTTATTGATACAACATGTCTGTTTGGCTGTTATAATGGATATGTTCAAAGTGCTGGTACTCCAGTTATAACATGTGGTAAAAGTTCAAGATGGGACAGAGATGTAGCAACCATTATAAAATGTCTGGGTACGTCGAATTTTTTTGACTTTTGCTAATGTAGTTATCGTTGGTATGCCTCTTGCCGTAGTTTCTGGTTGACGTTATGCACGTTCGTTTTTTGAAGTTGGTGGTTGTATTGCATTTTGTTTTTTTCGTGTTTTAGTTATTGACGATACTTTTCTTTGGTTATTCGTTGTTGCTGTAGCTGTTGATGCTGTTGATGCTGTTGATGCTGTTGTGTTCTCGCTGTATTTGCTGCTGTTAAAAATGCTGTCACTGCCTTCATCACTGTCATTGTTTTTTAAACTGATGAAATTCAGGCATTTAGTTTGCAAGTGACACATTTTTCCCTAATATGTTTTTCCATTATTTCAGATAAAACCCCACCCGTTTTCACCAAATCCTGCCCATCTAATATTCGAATCTCTTTGGGTCATAACGGGACGGCTACTGCTAACTGGACTATTCCAGTTGCTGAAGACAACTCGAACATTCCTCCTACAGTAACGGTCACGCCTCCAGATGCTGTACCACCATATTCTCTCAACAAGTCAATAGTAATAGAGTACAAAGCGACGGATAATGCAGGGAATATTGGGAAGTGCTCGTTCAAGATCGTTGTTGAAGGTTTGTAGATATGTGCAGATACATGACTTTACTAATATCTTTTTAATGGTTCTCACAAACGGCCAATTTAGCCAACATTTTACAGAAGTTGGACGAAATCTTGGATCAAATTTTGGGCCGTTTTTCAGGGCCTGAACTTTCAATTAATGGAAGAATTTTACTTGTGACGACAATGAAATTGGTTATATTTTTCGTTTATCAATTTCCTAATAGATAACATAGGGCCAAGAGTTGACTACTGCCCACCGAATCAAACTATTAGGGCCAAAGACATGTCAGAAAAGGTTCACTGGACATTACCGATATTCGTTGATAACAGCAACGCAAAAATCGTCCCGCAATGCAATCGGCAATCAGGAACCGTATTCTACTGGGGCGTGTGGACCATTCACTGTAGAGGATATGACGACAACCCTGACAACCAGCCTGCTGTGTGTACATTCAACATCACTGTTGAACGTAAGTTATAATATAACTCTTTGGGCATTGCTGTGAAAATAGATTTTGCCAAATTTGACTTGTCACAATAAATGAGAGAAAACTTGCATTCTTAAAATTTTTAGGGGGAAAATGTATTATAGCTTTTATGTAGTAATGTAATAATGCTTTGGACTTGGTCTGCCAAGAAATACTAAGCTATATACACGAGATCGGTAAATAGCCATATGTTTTTGAAATAATGTTTTTCTTAATCATGGTTTCGTAATCAATATATATTCTTATTTTAGCAACACCATGCCCATCTCTGACTCCACCAAAAAATGGAGCAAAGGCGTGTGATACCTGGGCTTTTGGACGCTTCTGTACTCCGCAGTGTAACAGCAAGCATGACTTTGCTGTTTCTATCAGTATTGGAATGATATGGGTGTGTGGATCATCGGGAGTCTGGAATCCACCTAATGGATTACCTGATTGCTCAGGTACGACGTGGAAAACGTTTCATATTACTTATTATAAAATAAATGCTATAAATCTCACGTTCTGATTGGTTGAGAGCGTGTGCTTTATGAGGGCACACAGTACGCGCGTGCACTTTCAGTTGCGTCATTCCTATCTAAAATAAGGGCTATTTTAATTTATAATTTATAAAGAAATAAAAACCTTGCTTTCTGTGCTGTTTGGAGTCATAAAAAAACTTGGGGATTGACAGAGGAACACTCGAGAAATGTCTCGTGTTCTGCTAACCCCCGCGTGCTTTATAACTGCAAACAGCACACGCACGCATTTTGTATTTCTTCAAAACAACACTTGAAATGCGCACAGTGCATCTTAAAAAGCTGACATGGGAATCTAGGTGATTTAATGGTTGTTCACTTGCACCTTACCTATGGGATCTCGTGCAATATTTCTGGAATTGAAGTCAAATCTGAATAGAGTTAATTGGGTCTCAAAACCTAACGTTAAACATACGTCAATGAGCCGCGTCACAATAATGTATTTGCAGTGTGAGAACTTCGACGATTCTAATTCTAGAACCCGTATTCCTTTTTTTGGTCTTTGCCTGGGAGCAAGACATTAATTATCCGCGAAAACAATGAACAGAGTTTGTAATGGTTCCGGTATAATTCTTTTTTTCATTGTTGGGCTAGCCAATCAAAAACAGAAGCTGTGGGGCTATGATTTACCAGGAGTATTTGGCGACTTCTTGATAAAAAGCAACGCGCGTACTAGGAACGAGGAGGAGGAAAGTCCTAATTAAAGGAAAGTAAAACATGCGTCACTTTCTTTTTAGAAACCTACGTGCCAAGAACTGCAAGAAAAGCAGCAAGCCTTCTGTACTACTTCGAAGGTGACTGTAACGACCCAGCCGTCCAAGAACAAGTAAAGAAAAATTTCATTCAAATCCTCAAGCAATCACTATTCAAGCAAATGTGTACAGATGATCAAATGAAAGAGAGATGTAACTTTACGAATGTTGAAGTTGTGTGTGGAGTTACATCGAGAGGAAGAAGATCGATATGGGAAGGTAATTTGCCATTCATGGGAGTCAAAAAATGATCAAACTCCTTTCTACGACCCTCAAACCTTTTTTCCCATCCTTCCTACTGCCTCAACCGCCAGTAGAAAGGATGGGGCGTGGTCTGTTGTGGGAGAGCTGTGGGACACTGAGCCTTATCATTGCCAGAATATATATATGGAAATTTTTGAGACACCACCATATTGTGACATTCCTATATCGTTGAATGAGATTAAGACTCGAAACTTCATTATGTAAATTGTTTCTAATTTTGTCAGAATCTGTGGCTATTACATCGCGAAGAACTCGTAGATCAGTACCTTCTAAACAGTTTAAAGTCAGCTTTGAATTTTCTCGTAAGTATGAGTAATGAACTAATATATAATGCTATTGACCTGTAGGATTTAGCGCGCCGGATTTATTATATTCACTTGTTTAAAAATACTAAATATATATGATTAAAAAATGCTTTCACGATAAAAGTCTCAGTGTGCCTCGATGTGAACAGGTCTTACTCCACTCCTCCTTAGAGAAGGGAACGGATAAGAGCAAAGGTCAACAATGATAATGGAGATATAAATTAAATTATCTTAAAACAACTATTCACCTCAGCTTCAGTGAATATGGGAAATATTTAACTCGCCGCTAAAAAGACTCGCGGCTTGGTAAATTCTCCCGATATTAATATTTACATCGCCTTCGGCGAAAAATTGTTAAACATTCGAATTCATCCTTTTTTCAGTTTCATTGGACAGCGGAGGTGCCTCAAACAAGACATTTTCCGAAATACAGTCGAGCTCAGCCAACGCCTCAAGCAAGATGGCTGCCATTGAGAAGGAGATGAAACGATCATTGGAAAATGGAAGCCTGGCACTGAACATCAGTGGTCAGGTGGTCAGCGCTGTGAACGACTCTTTAGCTACCAGCCCCACGTCCTTTGTATGTAACACTGGGCAAATCTTCTTAAACCAGAAATGTGGTCAGTATCAATCGATATCATAGGTTGCATTGACTATACCTAACTCAGTGGAGCTAAACTATACTAAACGATATACCAAACGATTTTCTTGCAGTTGCTTGCCCTGTTGGAACATATCACAATACAACTCTAGACCGATGTATTGACTGCAATAAAGGATGGTACCAAGAAACAGAGGGCCAGGAGTCTTGCAGTGCTTGTCCAGTCGGAATGTCTACAGTGGGATCAAAGGCAAAGAACAAGACTGACTGTAAAGGTTTGTAGAGGATAGGTACACAGGGCAATTAGCATCGTATTGAAAGGTAGTACCCTTCGCTGGTCTAGCATCCCATCCAGGAAATATAAGAATTAGTGTAGCCCCTCATGCTGAAACAAACTCTGATGATCGAGCTCTATTGATTCCCCTAAAAAAGTGGTCTGAAAAAAGCAAAAAGCATGTTTCACATTGGCAACAACTCTCCAATTTTGCTTCGATTTCTTGGTCTAAAATCAATCGAAATTAATTGCGGACACAAAATTTTAGAAACTATAAGGGTCGTTCTCAAAGGTACACTAGATCTCAAGACTGCTTCATTCTACGCAAGTACTGACGCAGTAGTTTTATTTTATAGCTTACTGTAAAAGAGGTCACTATTCCCCAACTGGATTGGAGCCTTGTGTTGCTTGTGATAAGGGATCTTATCAGTCCATGGATGGTCAGCTAAAGTGTAAAACCTGTCCTGATAACCAAACAACGCATTCGGAAGGAGCAACAAGCTTAAACAACTGTTCAGGTATTAAGAAAAGTAAACACGTATAAGCACTTGGAAAAATGGAAATGAAACTAGATTCATCATCACAAACATTGCCTAGCGTTTCTTTGTCACAAAATGGCACCTAAACCCGCTGTTGAAACTCCGCTTATTATGCTGTTTTGCATCTTTTATTTAGCTTCCTGTATGCCAGGTTCATACTCACCAAATGGTCTTGAACCGTGTAAAAAGTGCGACAAACGATCGTATCAATCAAACAGCGAATCAACATCGTGTGTGAGTTGCTCCGGAACCAAAACAACCTTGAAAGAAGGAAGTAACAGCTCTTCAGCTTGTCAAGGTAAATCATTTGAGAAATAATAAAAAGATAGAATCAATATTCAACTACTATATGTAAGTGTGAAAGTAGATCAAAAAATACAAAGACAAGAAAAAAAGCAAAGGAAGGCAAAGGAGTAACATGGTATGTAAAGGACAGGAGAGGTGAAGGCAACGGCGAAAATTAAGGGAAGAAACGAAAAACATTTCTCACCCTGTATATTATATGGTACTTTTCCGCATCCTTTTGTCATTCGTCTGTAAGTCAATCTTCACTTGCTCATCCACAAAACAAAAACTTACATTGATGACAAAGGTCCTGAACAACAATTACTGACTAAGGTACCTATGATTATGATGACAGGTAATTAATAATCGATATTCTTCTTTTTAGAAATAAATGAATGCGATTCCAACCCTTGTCAACATGGATCTACCTGCATAGACTTAATAGAAGACTTTGCCTGCCAATGCCAAGAAGGATACACTGGAAAGCAATGCGAACAAGACATCGATGACTGTGCTGCTGTTCCTTGCGAAAACAATGCTACATGTCATGATCACTTAAAAACGTTTACATGCACATGCGCAGCTGGATTTACTGGATCTGTCTGTCAAACGGAGATTGATGAATGTATTAGTTCACCATGCCTGAATAATGCGACTTGTCATGATTTGATTGGTCGATACAAATGCATTTGCCAGCCTGGATATGAAGGGGATAGATGTGAAAGGGAGATAAACGAATGTCAACCAAACCCATGTCTAAATGGAGGAACCTGTACTGACAAGGTAGGTAGTAGACTAAATCCTTAGTCTTTTAATCTTTTTTAATTCCAAAAATTAGATGGTAAACAAACCTTATATAGCTTTACGCTTGATCCAGAATAGACTTGCCCCAAGTCTCGCTCGCTATTTTTTCCTTGCAAATTCGAATTCAAATAGTGCTCTTCCGATTACGACGGCTTTCCGAGGGGAATGGCGCGGAGGAAACGAGAAGGATCCAGGACAGATAGACTTTAATACTGTGTCCAAGGATAAGAACATTTGCAAACGTTTTATTTTGTAACGCAATGTAATAAAAAACAAGAATAACTAATAAAACGAAAATGCTTTTAGGCAGGCTTTAAAAAAAGTCGTATAGTAATTCACTTATTTAATATTATTTTCTAGTTAAATGCATTTTCATGCCAGTGTCTTGCGGGTTTTACTGGATCAAAGTGTGAAGAAAACATTGATGACTGCCCTCAGAATCGCTGTGCTAATGGTGCCACGTGTAACGATCAGGTTAACAACTACACATGCACGTGTCTGCCTGGTTACACAGGGTTTTACTGCGATCAAGAAATAAATGAATGCAGATCAAACCCATGCAAACACAACGGAACCTGCTATAACACCATTGGAAGCTTTACTTGTACTTGTCCTGTTGGATATAATGGCAGTATCTGCGAGACCGAGATAGATGAATGCCAATCCAGCCCTTGTCTTAATGGTGCAACTTGTCGGGATGCCGTAGGATCGTTCTCTTGTATCTGCTCACAAGGATACCATGGAGATAACTGTGAAAAAGACATCGATGAATGTGCGTTCCAGCCTTGCACTAATAACGCTAACTGTACAAACACCGCTGGATCTTTTACTTGCCATTGTCAAAACGGTAAATATAATTTAAAGCTAATTTTGCATGACCGTGAAAAGTTGAAGGTACAAACTTGTCGTGTCGTGCCGTGCCGTGCCGTGCCGTGCCGTGCCGTGCCGTGCCGTGCCGTGCGACGCGGTCCCGTGCTTGTGATGGTATCTGTATGAGCAATGACCTCGTCAATTACGTTCTGTGACTGTGCCGTGTATATTGGACTGCCTTTTTATACATTGCAAATATTAGTCTTTGCTAAACTTTTTTTTGGAACGCGAGCTTATATAAGGAAAACTAATCATAAAACAACTTTACCAACCTATTATTACCTCGAGTCCAATCGGAAATATCATATTCTAAAGAGGATTTGTACTATTTATGCATCATACTGAACCATTCTGGATTCATAATATCAATGATGATTTTTTAATGTTTGTTTTACTTGAAAAAATATTTCCAAAACAAGATTTAATACATTTTTTTTTATGTAAAGGTTTTACAGGTAAAACATGTGACAAAGATATAGACGAGTGCTTGTCTAAACCTTGCTTGAATAACGGTAGTTGCATTAATGAGAGAAATGCGTTCAGTTGTCAATGCCGAGATGGTTTCACTGGAGCTCGATGTGAAGTTAATATCGATGAATGTGTTGCAAATCCTTGCAAAAATAATGGGACATGCCAAGATGGTATCAATGACTACAAGTGTACCTGCAACGCTGGATTCACGGGAAGTGACTGCGAGATAAAAATCGATTACTGCAGATCTAATCCGTGCGAAAACAATGGAAAATGCATGAATTTCCCTACGGAATACAAGTGCCTTTGCTCTTCCGGCTACACCGGAAGAAACTGCAGTATTAACATAAACGAATGCATGTCTAAGCCATGCCTACATGGAACGTGCCAAGACCTTGTCAATGGTTTTAGATGCTCTTGCTTGCCCGGATTTTCTGGTTTCCAATGCCAAGAAAACATAGATGACTGTAAAGATAATCCTTGTCGCAATAATGCTACGTGTGTGGATGGTGTGAACTCCTATCAATGCATTTGTCAAGAAGGATTTAATGGAACACTCTGTGAAATAGAAATTAATCCATGCGATTCGTTTCCATGTTACAATGGAGGAACTTGCAAAGACGAGGTAGCAAAATAGGCAAAATTTTAAGTAGTAGTGAAAAATTAAACACGCAGAATCCCTTCAACCTTATCGAGCCCTGAAGCAATTTCTGGACTTTAGACACGACTAACTAACAATTTGAATTTGGGCTTAGAAGCTTATAAAATAATATTAAATGTGGATTAATGATTAATTTTCTGTCGTAAATGGGCCAGGAGTTGTTTACTTTGGGTGTAACGTTTTTTCATATTTCAGATGTCATTCTCGTGGGAGTCGTTTTATTGTCTCAATAAGATACATTTATTTGAAAAGATCTTGCACTAGTTATTGTTAACAAATGTCTTCCTGCTCTCCATTTTTAGGATAAACAGTATATGTGCTCATGTCCATCTGGATTCACTGGACGCAATTGCGAAGTGAACATTGACGATTGTAAACCAACCAACCCATGTCAAAACAATGGATCATGCACTGATCTCGTATCCGACTACACCTGTACATGCCCTGCAGGATTTTATGGACGGCATTGCGAAAACATCACTAACCACTGCATAAACTCGAACTGCAGTCAAAATAGCAAATGTATTAACTTGCCACTCGGTTTCAAATGCAACTGCACTGAAGGTTACTATGGACCAACCTGTGCATTTAAAGTTAAGCCTTGTACCTCAAGTCCTTGTCTAAATGGAGCAACGTGTACTAATAAAGATGAAGGATATAACTGTAGTTGCAGAGCTGGGTACACAGGAAACAGATGTGAAGTCAACATCGATGAATGCCAAAGTCACATGTGCTTGAACAATGCAACATGTATTGATCAAGTAAATGGATACATGTGTGTATGCTGGGATGGTTTCAATGGCACGCACTGCGAGCATCAACTTTACTCATGCAACGATCAGCCCTGTATGAACGATGGTACATGCGTTAACGTTTTTGGTGGCTATAAGTGTGAATGTAGTGAAAGGTAAGAAAATTAATGTTTTGTTGCTCAAGTGATGACAAGGGCAGTAATAATATAAAAAAGGGTKATATAAAAACGGTTTCTAGTAGAGCTGGCTCATTTTTTACGCGACTTGAAGTTGTGAAAGGCTTGTATGGCACTTTTCTTCACTCGTTTCATATAAGGCTCGTAATTTACCTATAACGCATGTTATTATATGATGTCCGAGCCCATCCCACACGGCTTACCGCCTCATCTATCATGTACTACTTCGTGGGATTCTACCAGCTCACTAGATACACCGTGCTGACGAGGACCAATACAGGCCGAAACAGCTGTCCATGCTTTTTAGTTGATCCGACTCATTTTTTACGCCACTTCGAGTTGTGAAAACTAAGCTTTTCGAAGACTATTTTGCAAAGGCGAGACCAAGAATAGCTCTCGTGAACTTTTATATGGCAAGACCTCGAAGAAACGCCAAGCGCAACTCTTTCCAAAAAACTTAGGTAGACGGGGCCGTCCTCGCACAGTAGCATATGGCACTGCACCTCAAAAATAACCAAGCCTGTGTTAAACCTGCTTCAAAATGTATTTTGTTCTCGACTTTTTTGATAACTTTGCGAATATATTTTGTGAACCAGGTTTGGAGGTTTGAGATGTGAGGCAGATAAGAATCCATGCAAAACCAATCCATGCTGGAATGCGGGAACATGCAAAGAGTACAACATTACATCGTTTAGCTGCACGTGCGCGCCTGGTTTTGAAGGCCCCACATGTGATGTCAACATCAATGAATGTGCTTCTTCTCCCTGTCCACTGCACGCAAACTGTATTGACAAAGTCAATGGATATGAATGCAAATGTCATCAATCTCACACAGGACAGCATTGTGAAACAGGTAACTACAACAAACTGATCTCATGATAAATTATAAGTAGGATAAAAAATCACAACGAAAACAACAAGAAACTGCTACAGTTTCTTGTTTGATATTCTGAAGGAAAAGGGTGTCTTTATTCTGCAGTGCCCAAGTTTTGTAAAGTAAGGATTAAAGTGAGCATCAGAATGAAATACAAAGTTCATTTTTGTTAAATTGTTTCTTTGCTTGCTTGGTAGTTCGCAGTCGTTTGCTCGTTTTATCCAGCATACTGCGATGTAATTAAGTCGCACAAGGCCGTTTGCTCGTTCCCTTGTGGTGTTTAGCTTATTTCCTTCATGCGTAATTCAGCATCTTTTATTTTCGACCAACAGTAATAAATGACAACTTCGACCTACTGTTCCAAGACAAGTCAGATACTAGTTCTGTTGAACTGAAAGACAGAAAGAACGTGCCAAACATGGAAAGCTTTACAATCGCTCTCTGGGTAAGACCAGACGTTCGTTACAAGAATGGGACTATGATTACATACATGGTACCTGAAAGCCAAGGAGAAGTGGTAGAGATTTCATTTACAGCAAAGGCCATTCAAGTTCGTGTCAAGCTTGACATCATCCATCATGGAAATGTAATTATTGATGGAAAATGGCATTTAATTGGTGTGTCTTGGAGCAGATCACAAAACACTTTCAGTCTTTATGTTGATGGGCAAAACGCCAGAACAGTTTTTCTTCCATCAGGTATGAGCACTATAATTTTGTTTGAATTTTTTCTCTTTCTTTCTTTATTCTTGAACACCGTCGTTTCGTAACGCCAATAACACGACACACTTCGTAGATGCCGCAATAGTTTGACACCTTCCACTTGAAGATGATTTGTCTGGCTGGTGCTTTTCCTGTATAATATCTTTTGTTCTCGTCTCACACGCGCTGTATATATTTTACCAGATGCACTACCTGTGTATTAGGACCAAGATACTTGCATTGAAAATTACTTAGAAGCATGTGAAAATTTTTGCCAAGATTTGCTTCCGAGTGCTATGAATGAAAATATAATCCTGATATATAGCTATGTTCAAAATTGAGATAATAATAATAATAATAATAATAATAATAATAATATCCTTCAATTTTCAGGGCCTCCTCTTAAGGGTGGAGGATGGATCATACTGGGACAAAAATACTCTTGGAGCAAAAAGCAGTACGTGGCCTCGGAATCTTTCGTGGGTATCCTACATCAAGTCAACATTTGGAAGAACGCAGCAAATCAGGAGTACATGTGGAATGCTGCGCACAAGTGTTCGTGGCCTATAGGAGGAGATGTGAATTCTTGGATCGGATTTATGTTTGGAACCCGAGGCAACGTAATGAAAAAGTTTCCCTCTTCCTGCAAAGGTATGACAATTCCTTCAATCACAGTGGGTCAAAAAGGAAGTCGAAATATTTGAACAAAATCAAATCGAACAAGAATAACTAAAGACAGATAAAAAGCACCAAGCCTCTTACATGATGTAATTGCTACATAAGGGATTCCTCTTTCACCTTTAGTTCAAAACAACATTATGAGGCATTGTCAAGTACCGTGGCGTTAGATGGTAGGCAATGTATGTATTCCAGACGACACTGCAAAATTAAGCAATTCTCTCAGATCACCGAATCCAAATTCAAATGACACAGGCAGTCCCAAATAGTTTCTCCAATAATTTACGTCATATAATTTTAATTCATACTTGATGTATAACTGATGTTTTCATCGCTTATATTCCCAGCACTCGAGCTTTGTATGCAAAACTGTACCCACTACGTCGATTGCAATAAGATTAGAGACAGTATGGTCTGCAATTGCCAAAAAGGATTTACTGGTCAGTTGTGCGATGTGAACATCGATGACTGTGCGTCAAATCCATGCGTGAATGGAAAATGTGTGGATGACATCGCGACCTATCAATGTGAATGTCAGAAAGGCTTTTATGGCGATCGCTGTGAAAAGAAGCTGGAATCTACTGCTAAAGGTAAGTAAGATTTGAAATATGGGATTGCTTGTTCGTTTGACTCGTTTGAAGTAGACTTAATCATTTTTAATTACACGCACTCATTTGAGCAAATGGGCGGGGTTCACAACAATGAAAAAGCATGATTCGAGAGTGCAAAGTATACTTATTAGTGTTGGACATGAAATACATAGCTCTTATTAACCAAGGGCGAGGTCTGTACCGTAAGCTAATGACTGCAAATTGACCAATAATGGCGCTTGATATTCCCTTAGCATATAATAACGACTATTCATTTAGAATGGCCTGCATACATTTATATGAAGAAATTGCATATATATATTTATATATCGTGCATCCATGTAACTTAACTTTTATAACTGGATTAAAAGTTTGAAATTATAACTTTAATTTGACCAACAAAAGAACACCTTGTTTGTAGAATGCCCAGCTCTACCCAAAATAGAAAATGGAAAAATTGCCCAACGGACGTATGGAGGGAAGCACATAGCAACCCTTACGTGCAACGATAACTACGGCTTCAAACCGGAAGATGTCACAAAGTACTCATGCGGACCTGAAACAGACTGGAAATGGAACAGGCAGGAGAAGATTACACTGCCACGATGCCTAGGTAAGTATAAACGACTGTAGAACTGAATCGTATCATCAAATTTAACTCACTAACATACCGTTTTATGCAAGGATATTTTTTTCATGCAGCTTTAACTTAGTGCAGCGCAAGTTGTCACCGAATAATGGGAACCTCCAACTTTGCTCTTCTCTACACCTTTTTTGACGTTCCAATTTGCCCTTTCCATTGACTTGCAGGTACGTCAGAGCCCATTGCAATACGTCACAAGTATGAGATGTTAATACCTTTAAACCCATCCAGATGCCGAACAACACAACAGTATCAACGCCTCAGGTCCAGCTTCAAGCAGGCTTTTATGATCTCCATATCCTCCCTAGACCAACACAAGTGCTTTGCTTTGGGCAACTGTAAAATAGAAAACATCAATGCACCACGCTGTGGCAACGAGTCTCAAAGGCAAGCAAGGGCTATCGTAGAGAACTTGGAAATACATTTCGAATTAGCATTTTCAGAATGGGGAAATTCTTCTCAACATTCGACAGTCACTGAAAATGCTGAAGCAGTTGCCTTCCAACTAAGCTACGCCATTTCTGTTGGCAACTTCACAATGATCATCGATGGCACGCCAGTTAAGCCTCGTGGTTCTTCTTTGAAGTTGGTATCAAATAGTCATCAATGCAAGGATGGTTATGTCAACAGCTATGACAACGCGTCTTGTGGTGAGATATGTTATTTCTTTGATTTCATAACTTCAAACCGCGTGGAAATAAATATTAAAAGCTCATTGAAAAAAACCCTGTTTTATTTATCTAGTTTCATTTACACTGACCGAAAAGAGTTTTCAATGCAAAGCAGGTTTTTGCATGGGTAGAAGCATTGGAAGGGTCTATAAACTGATTTTACGCAAGTTAGAGTTAACGTTAACAAAGAGTTGCTTTAAATTGTTGTATGCAAATCATTGTCACACACGACTAAGGTACATTCTACCATCCTAAGGGATATCTATTAAAGGTCCACTCTGAGAAGCCTCGGCAATTGAAAATCCTCCATGTCCGATCCCATACTCCGCGATCCCTAAAGCTGGAATGTTTTTGACACATTTTCTTTATACGCATGCGCAGTTGCCTGTCCTGCTGGGACACATCTTCACTCCAACTTCAGAGACTGCGTCCCATGTCCAATCGGTCAGTATCAAGATATGGAAGGGAAAATGACGTGTAAAAAATGTCCTGATGGATACTCGACGAAAATTGGAGGAGCAGCAAGAAAAGATCAATGCTACGATGAAGGTAGTTCCATACATCCATCCATCTCGCTTTTATTTAACGCACTCTATAGGACGATTGGGATTAAAAAAATCATGTTCTAATGATTACAAAACAAAACGTTAAAATTACAAAACGTTAAAATTTGAGATTTTTTAAAGCTCTTGTAGCACAATATTTTGTTTAAGTTTCTTTTGTTACGATACATTCCATAAATTATTGTTATTCTTTTGAAAATGATCGCAAACACCCGTTTTCATAAATATGTTTTTCGAGGTGTTGGGTCACTCAGAATCCAAATCGTTGTTCTTTCTTTGAGAGAGGTGGGGTGCGGAATGGCGAGAAGGCCCGCCAGGTCAGGTTTACTCTATAATCAAATGAGAAATTATATCATTTTATTTTTTCCTTAGGAACGGGAACACCCTTATGGAAGTACATCGTACCGGTAGCAGTATTGACGCTGTTATTAATAGTAATAGCTGTGTTACTCATAAGGTAAGACTACGAAATTGAATTAGTAATTTTGCTAATAAGCAATTATTGGATGAGGTTGAGCATAATATCGTAAATTATCAAGACCTCGGCTGTGTTATCTGCCGAAGCCGTATACTGAAAAAACATTAACATGAACATTAAATCATGGAGACAAGAATTATGCCATATGTCGCGTGAAAAATGCAAAATTCTTAATTCAGAAATATTTCGAGAATTCTTCATAAGATGTATGAAAATAAGTTAAGGATTCCTTAAATAACTTTTTTTGTACGTAAATTCTGGAAATAAATACCCATAATGAATAAAAACATAGCTACCACAGCGTGAATTTGAATGAACTTGACATGATAAATGTATTATCTGTAGGAAAATCTACAGATAATACATTTATCATGTCGAGTTCACACGATATCAGGGATTGGCTGAGGGCTCTCGACCAATCAGAATTGAGATACTTAGTAAAATGTATAATAATAGAGTATGGTACGTGAGTTAGGTGGGGATGGGCTGATTCACTGAACAGTAGAGGAATGAGAAAGTATTATCCAAACGAACTTATGCTCCGCAATGACATTTTAGTTTTGAACGCACTGACATCGGGAAAGGATTTGAAGCTTGTGTCATCCTCTGCAAAACCAATGGCTTTAACAGCTTCCGGCGTCACTATTTATTGAAGAATTGAAAAATGCACGCGTTTTTTCTGATGGAAAACAATAAGACAGAGGCTGCATTAAAAAAAAACTGAATATCGATAATTGCGTTAGGAGTGCAACCAAGATTACAAGAAATACATGTCACAATCTCGCACGAGGCTTGCGAACGCAGATGGGTCTCAGGGTAAAGGCACACAATGTGATGTATTTTAGTGCGAACCATAGGTAACTATAGACCTCAATAAATGACATAAATGTTTTTTTAGTCGAAGGAATAAAGGGAAGAACAACACCAAAATAGACCATCAATACTCAACATTATACCGTCGTGCTGCCCACAATCAAGAAAATAAAGGATATGACGAAAGTGGAGAACAACAGTACAATACATTAAAGCGTTGGCTTCCCCAAGTTCCACCAGTGAGATTCAGCCAAGAAAGCCAAAGATATGATGAGACTGGACCTCCAGTTAGTCAACATTTCTCAACATTTTTGAGTACTCCCGGCAGCCAAGGAAATCAAGGTTATGATAAAAGTGGAGATGCTACTGGCATAACAAATGGGGAACGAATTTATGAAGAAATAGATGGCAATAAACAAGGCACGTATGACCAAATGGACCAGGCGCCACAACGGCCTTTAAAAAAGCCACAATACGAAAACGCGGGAACGGAAAAGGCTTTTAACTCACCACGATATGAAAACAAACGACTGCCCCTTTCGACGTTTGGCGAGTCTAAGGTATAAGAAACTGCGACGCGTATACATTTACGCTTTCGACTTAAGTTTACCTTAACTTCTATAACTTTTTTTCTACATATGCTCATGAATATCACAGATTTCATCTAGTGCTGAAAGTGTGACTAAAATGTAAACTGATAGTATTATCCTTGAAAAGCCAAAAACGTTTTTTGGTCAAACCTTTTTCTACACGTGTTTATGAATATCACAGATTTTGTCTAGTAAATGCAAGCTGAAGTTGTGACAAAAATACTAAAATAGTATTATCCTTGATCACATAGTAAAAAACGCATTTTTTGGTCAATCAAAAACATGCACATGCATTACACCCAGCTTGTAGAGGGCTTTTTCGCAGGGTACATCTATTGGAGTGATTTACTTATTTCCGCAAAATAAACTATTTTAGTCTAAACGGTATTAATATATAATTCTACTGTTTTCTATTTGATTTTATTTGACAAGAATGATTTTGTTATCGTTGGAGCGCGACCCGCGAGGCTTGATGTCTTGTTCGACGACTAGCATTTCAACGACCGTCAATTAAGGAACTGAAATTTTAAAAAAATCTTCAGAAAGACTTTTAGACTTAAGCCCCGTCCACACTATTAATTTGAATCCGAATTTTTATTTATTAGGTTCCATTTCGAAAATTCGTTTTCGGTGAAGAATTGTTCCGGATTCGCCCGGACTAGTGTGGACGGTAGGCCTAACCAAATAAATAAAAAATCGGATTCAAATTTATTCGGGACGGGGCCTTACTTTTAGAGATTTCAATCCTCTAAATTCTTTAATTCAATCCAAAATCTTACTCAAGATATTGTGCTTTTTTATTTAAATTCTTTGATTGACAGTCATTGAAATGTCAGTCGGCTAAACGGGTCGCACTTTAACGATAATGGTAGTATGACGTGAAACAAACTTTAAGATAAATTATCAATGTGTAATAGAGTGAAAGCATTTAACCCGTGAAATAAAAATTATTAGTCAACATGTAATAGCCAAATACACACAAAAGAAAACAATGGTATTAAACTCTACTAATGAAGAAATAGAAACGATTTTTAACAGTTACTTTTTTTTTTTTTTTTGGCATTTTTTTAAAAGAATGTATTAAAGCACTCTTTTCACGTATCAGCATAACAATCTCTCGAGTATTATTTCTTTTTTGTAGGCAAATATTTGAACCATTTACATGGATGAACTGAAATAAAAATAGATCTTATTCCAAAGGGAATATATTTACTTCTTATTATTGATAGTTCCCAATCAATTTGTTAAAAGAAATTATGATAATAAAATTGGTACCCCAGCGTATCACAGCCATTAAAATCACCACAAATCCCTTGGTTGTATTCACGTTTATTGGAATGATTATCATTTGTTACACAATGCAATCAAGTTAGATCTAAATTTAAATTACTTTTTTTGATCAGTCGAATAACTTGATAAAATTTTAACTTCACAATTTAGTCATGTACAAAACAAAATCATTAGAAAATTCGTAGCAAAACGCATGTACTTTGATCGATAAAACTATGATTATAGCAAAAGAAATGAAATCTTCACACAAATAAATTATAGGTGGAATAAATAAGACCTATTATTATATAATTACCGATGAAATATCTATTTTTCTCTATTTCGAAAAATTGATATCTTCACACGTGAAAATAACATGTTATTTTCACGTGTGAAAATAACACCATTGCGATGGCTATTCAAAAATACAMGGAAAGAATTGCCTGAAAAAGCCAAAACATACTTCATTGATAATTATATAATAAACAGAATATTACATGGGCGCTTGAAGATACGAAATTTATCTTCTCCTGTTGAAAATCTCTCACTCGTTCGCTGCGCTCACTYGTGAGAGATCTTTTCAACACTCGAAGATAAATTTCGTATCTTCGTGCGCCCATGTAATATCCTCTATATCTTTCATTATTTTTAACTTAAAATTTTGGTCAATTTATTTAATTTATAGTAGACATATAAAACTACAACCACACCAAATTATTTTACTTTACGAATGATTGATAAATAATAAATGACACAGAACATAAGTAAAGAAAGAAAGTGAGGGTAATTTCTACAGTGCCTTGTAATAATAGATTCTTTAGTCTGGACTGTTAAGGAACCATTCATTTTTTTTTACAGGCATGGTGTGTGTGTGAGAAGGGGGGGGGGGGGGGGGGGGGGGGGGTGTGGGGGGGAGGAACACATACAAAAAAAATATGGCAATTAAGGGGAGGCACCCCCAAAATAATAAATAATTAGGTCAATAGAAAAATATATATAAATTATCCTGTTTTAATAGAGAGCCCCTGTAAGAACATTCAGAATGGGAATGGGCCATACATTTTTTTTACTTACAATTCACAAAATCCCACCAGCCCCCCTATGCCCTTAAAAAATGAACTGTCCCTAACTAGACATCATGACTCAGTTGTTATTTTACCATTCAAACATACAACTGTGCATATACCTCTGACTTAATGTATGTTTCCCATTCATACATGTATCTGGGAAGGAAATATACTTCATTTTTATTTTCCTATTTTCATTTATATATGGATTACAACTCCATTCAAATAAAACACATATATGTGCTGATCAAGACACTTCTCATTCACATGCAAAATCTCACGTTTGTCAATTTTTTATCAAGACAAAATAGATTTTAGACGGACGTCAAAAAGTGCCTCATTGTTGGAAAGCACAAAGTTTTCAAGTGCATCCGCCAATGGATCGTTATGGAAATGCATTGAATGACGGCCACCAAAACCTACTTTATCGTGACAGTGCATTGTAAATTGAGTTTTGAAATTTCCATATTTGCTATTCAAGTTATTACATTACACATTTTTGTCTTGATCAGCATGTAATAATATAACAATGAAAACAGTGGTAGAGCAAAGATTATTTTTTCTGACCTCAGACAAATGATTCATGTTGTACAGTTGACGTATCCCCATTCAACGAAGGGGCTTCAGGAGTATCTGTCACAACTGTGGGAGACACTACCCTCTTACGCACATCACTATCATCTGTGCAGCACTTCTGCGCATCACAGTTATCCATCTCACCACAAGCAAGGACACATTCTTTCTTGGAGAGATCCTCTTCGACAAATTCTGGCTGAATTGTTGTTGAGTGGATTCCTTCATTGTGGAAGAATCTCTTGATTTCATTGGCTATTTTCATGTAGTCATCAGGCGTTTGGCAAGTGATATGTGCTGATGCTGAAATTAATAAATGAACATAACATTTGTCTGTGCTCTGATTTTGATCATTTCAGGGCACAATAGTCTCTTCTTTATTGGTTCTTAAAAAGCCTTTTTTCCTCTCAATGTCAGCTGTATCCTATAGCCTCAATCTTCTTTCTTGATTCAAAGAAAACTCATTAACCCCTCACAAAAAAACCTATTACCCTATACGAGGGCTTAAAAATTTGGACTAAGGTCTAAAAGAGCCACTCCACAATCTACACTGCCACATGCAATGCTGTACCATGATGTTTTGAAAAATGCTGTCAAAGTGGAGTGTTTTGAAAATGATCTGGTTTTAGTCCTGTGTAAATGGAAAAACCTTGGTATTTTCAAAACAATTGACCTGACTTTGAACTCTACTTTGAAAACAGGTGGTCTTGAAATGAGGCTAATACTGTCATTACATATTCCAAATGACCTGCAACCATATTGTTATTTTCTGAGTCTTTCAATTTGCAGCTGCATAAGTTGTTTCATATGCTGTGAGGATCAGCTCAATTTGATACATTACAACTGCAGTACAAGGATATATTTCATTTATATTCTCATACACATATTATTATTGATCCCAGTTTTATGCTGACAAAACAGTGTTATTTTGAAACAGCTGCAACTGTGGTAATGGGACCTAAAGTAACAATACATACCGATAATCTTGTCTCCTGCAAGCTGCCAGACATGGAATTCATGAACACTCAAGATACCACGTACACACTCTAGTAATCTTTCTTGAACCTCCTGGATCTTGATATGAGTTGGTACAGTTTGCAGAAGAATTAATGATGATTCCTTCAAAAGTGGTATAGAGGTACGCAAGATAAGGCAAGTCATTAATATGCTCATCACAGGATCCACATACAGCGTCCATTCACCACTGGCATATTTTATGATGAGAGCACTGACGATGACAATGACTGAGCCAAGCGCATCACCAAGAACATGAAGGTACACAGCTCTCATGTTAAGTTGAGCACCTGACTTGACTGGGCTTCCAGGAGTATTACGTGTTTCTATCGTAATCATTTCATTTCTGACAGCTTCAGGTAACTCCTGGTTTCCAGGTGGTAGAAAAGCTGAAATAAAGAAGCATGTAAAAAATGTTGTAAATGGTAAAATTCATTGTCAAACTCATTAATAATTCATGAGGAAAACACAACGGAAATCATGACCGTGATGAATGTTGTAAATCTGATACACAATTATGTTCATTTGCATAAACTTTAAGTTGGATTTTCTTGGCCAGATTCACTTTAATTTTGAAAATTTTAGTGAAACACAAAGGAACTAACCTAGACGTTTGATAAGCAATCTACAGTATTTGTGTCCGTGTTATATCGGCTACGCCTTGAGTTTGTATATCTGATACGACACGGCCACTTATACTGTATATATTACATGTTTTCAAGATGACCCTTCCCTCTGAAGTACAAGCCCTTGCCCTTGCCCCCTTGTGCAAATTTGTGCAATTTTGTACAAAGTTTTTCATGGATATATGGTATCCACTCTATAAAAAGTAAACATTTTTACAATTTTAAAAGATGGTAGTTTGTTGGTTTTATCATGTTATTTAAACCATGTTTCGTCAACAAAAATATTTACAATTCCTTCAAACAAATGACTTATTTTACATTACTGGAAATTAATTCACATACCTGAACTCACAGACTCTGTATCACTGTGGATACTATCACGAGCAGTAATCAAACCATTTCCACCTTTACCAACACGAACAAGGCCATTAGTGTCGGGATCTTGTGGTTCCACACTATGGCTGTGACTATGTCCTCGCTCCCCTCCATGACTGTGACCATGTCCCCCACCCCCATGACTATGACCATGTCCATGTTGATGAAACATTGCCAGCCCGATAACATTCACAAACAACCCAGCCCCTCCGACTATTAAGACTAACGTTGGGTTATGGATAGACTCCACTTCTATGAGACGTTTTAACGACTCAACGAGAATAGAAAAGCAGAGCGCAATCAAAAAGACAGCATTGACCAGCGCGCCCAGGACTTCTGCTCGTTGCCAGCCGAAGGTATTTCGTTCCGTCCGTTTACTTCGTTTAGAATATCGCAAAGCAACGAATCCAATAATAAGGGACATTACATCTGAAAGCATATGGAAGGAATCTGCCACTAAAGCCATTGAATTTGTGATGTAGCCGACGATGATTTCTACCAGGAAGAAAGATGATGTCAAACCCAACATCCAAATCACTGTCCCCGATTTCCCACAAAGACTTTTTCGTAAAGCCGATTCTCCTGCCATGTTCTTTCTCTTTATAAAGTGTTAAAGCTTTGCAATGTAGTTAATAAGTAGCGATATATCGCGTGTAGCCTTATTTTGTAGATCGTCAATTAAGCTAAGAAATTGTCGTCAAAAAAGATCCGCCACTTTACTTGGCGATTAGCTAAGCTCAGCATCGATTCATTTTATACGAAAGGCCTCTTGCTTCTTGCTTTATGTTGAGGAAAGTACCTACTGCTGTGTCTTATAGTCAGAATAATTTACCTAAAAATTAAGAACAAAAGAATACATGTCGTTTTAGAAATAAATAAATGAAATTTTTGTCGACTCTCAGTCATGAGGGCATCAGGCGATTGTCACATTGCTTTGATAATCCTTTCAACACATACTCACCTATTGACCTAGAACTAAAGTATTACAAATGTTTGCAACTAGAAACGAGAGAAAAGAGCTCGAGTGATGAAATATGCAGCCTACTTTCTTCAAATTTTGACCCGAAGTTATAAAAAAAAACGAAAATGACTGAAAATGAATATTCTTGTCTGTGACAGTGCCATTTTGAACTAAATTTGGTCATAATTACCAAATATAGATAAGCCACAGGAAACCCACTTTCACTTTCTAGTAGGTATTCATTTCCGTGACTTCCGTTTGAACTTCCGTCAGAGGAAATAAACTTTATTTTTGACGGTGGTAAAAAGAACCTTGAACACGAGTTCGCAACACGAGCAAGAAATCATCCAAGAGTTAACAAATATTGTGATGTATCACGTGATATACGTTTTTTAAAAGGAGTAATAGAGTATACTGCGTGGGCTTCCTGTGGTTGTTCAGGAAGATCGGACAAACAAGATGATGGTGGCTACCAGTTGATATATTGCCAATCAAATTGCTTCGATCTTAAATAGACACGTGTACTATTCAAACACAAATCACTCCGAAGGTACCGTTAGATTCACGATGGCCGCAAGATCTTGGGTCTATGTATTATTTATAATCCTATTTCCAGACGTTATTATTTCGTCTGAGAACATCCAAGAAGCTGATGGAAATAGAGTGGAAGACGTGGAAAAAATTGACCTAAAACATGCTAAAGACAAATACAAGTTTAAAGGTAGGAACTCAGGCTTGAATTGACAAAGATCTTACTAATCTTTCATCAAAATATTTCTTTGTTAAAACTTGAAGATTTAACACATAAGTTATCCAAACATTTTGTGACCACAGCTAACCCAATTGTGGGCTATGTATATAAGTACACTGGTTAATATACAGATTTGTAAAAATCTTAAAGTTTTAACGATTTCTTGGGAGAAAATCTATATGGCTAAGACTTATATTGTGCCATGGTCAAAGCTTGTGATTCATAGTTGTTAAAATTTTGCTTCACTCATTTCATTGGTTCAGAAAAAATGCCCTTTCATTGTTTATATTTTTTATTTATTCATGCATTAAGTTTATGACTATAGAAATGAACATTTATCCAGAAATTTTAAATATTTACTTTTTTTGTGCTTCATTTTAGCTTCTTGGGAAGGTTACCTTAGGAACATTGATGATGCCATTACCAAATATGAAGATTGCTCTAATAAATTCTGTGGTTGCTATAGAGATGTAATCGACAATGACTTACGACTATGGAGTGATAGAGGTGGCATAATCAAATCTATTTTTGATATTGCCAAAAACCGTGGAACTCATTACCAGATTATTAATCACAAGCTTTATAGAGAGAAGGAGTGTATGTTTCCTTTCAGGTAAGTACGCCACAGGGAACCCAATTATGAAAAAATAAATAAAAAATGATACAAATTCAATTTATAAAATACAATTCAATTGAAAAATTAATGCACAGTGCGCAAAATTATGACCACATTTATTGCATGTGCATACTTCTATGCACAGTTTCTGTATGTTAAACTGACACATTTCGATACAAAGCTGGCTGGTTTTATCAAATAAGGTGTGCAAATGATCATTTGGTGGGAAAAAGCGTGTGCATAGAAGTGTATGAATACATTAAATGTGGTCATACTTTTGCAGTTACACTATAATATATATGACATCTAAAAATGTAAAAATTGAAAAAAATTCTGATATACTTTCTTCCTCTCCCTCCCTCCCTCTTCCTTCCTGCCTTTCTCCTACCCACTCCAGATCCCACACACACACACACACAGTACTATCTTTGTTTGTGTTGCCCCAATTTGCCATTCTGATTTATATTGAGGCAATTACATGTGAAATTATTTGAATAGGTGCAAAGGAGTAGAACATTTTTTATTGGAAATTATTGATAAACTACCAGATATGGAGATGATAATTAATGTCCGTGACTGGCCACAGGTAAGTGATAGGAAGATTTGGAAACACTTAATAATTTAGTCTATTTGGCTCAGTGAGTTGGTATGCATGGTACTAGCATGTGTTTGAGGAGGTCAAATGTTATAAGGTGCTSCCTTTGTTTTAAAATTATCTGCAATTTTATTAATTGTTAGACATTTGATGCGCAAGGTTTGGATAACAATGTAGGAAAACATTCCTATCTCAAAAATTATTTGGAAACACTGAACATAGAGGGTCAAGTTTATATTTTCAATGCTTATTGCCCGGGGGGGGGGGGGGTTACTCCGCCAGAATTTGGGTAGGGGTGATCTGCTGGGATTCTGAAAGAGGCACCCTGTTTATATGACCAAAAAAAAAAACAAATTTGTAGACCCTGTTTATGACAAAAGATATAATTAATTGCACTGAGTTCCCGTTTCAATTATCATGTCATCTCGCGTATCATTTTAGAAACCCTGAATATGACAGGAAACTCAGGAAGAACTTGGAACTTGAGTGAATTGCATACCCTGTTTATGACAAGAAGCTCGAAAAACCATACATATGTACCCTGTTCAGCGGATCATCCCCGTATAGTCCATATTTTGGAGTACCCCCCGGGGCTTATTGTTCCAAATGTCAATAGTCAATTTCACAGTTCCCTGCACCATCTCGAAAGGTAGCAAGATGAATGGTGACCCTGCCATGGTAGAGACCTTTTTTAACACCTTGCATTGGACAATTATTCATGTGTCTCTATCATTACAAGCTCACTGTTTGTATTGCTTCAATCAAAGGCATGGCTGGTGCAGAGAACTGTGAGGTGGACTATTATCACCTTCTAAAATTATTAGATTTTTTTTATTCTGAGAAAAATCCTGGACAATAAATCCCCAGCAACTGATAATTGAATTGCATCATAGAAGTGAAAAAATTGATTGTTAAACTCCCTTATAGTCTCATTAATATATATATAATGTTTATTATTACATGTATACATCCATTATGGTGTATTGTATGTTATTATTTTCTTGATATATAGTCACCAGTTTGGAATGAACCACTCCCAGTATTTTCATTTAGTAAGGTAAGTTGATATAGATATTGTAATTGACCTTCTGCTCAGTATCATATTCAACTGCCAGGTTATTTGCTACATGCCACTAGTAATGCTTTTAAGCATAAATTTATGAGAGCCCTCCAGTTTGCAATGCACCATGGGAACTTTTGATTCATTATTATTATTATTATTATTATTTTATTAAATAATTTAAATGTGCCTTAATTGTCTATAATAATTTCTTAACAGACTAGCAATGAAGTAGACATCATGTATCCAGCCTGGACATTCTGGGAGGGGGGGCCAGCTGTCTGGCCGATCTATCCAACAGGGTTAGGCAGATGGGACTTGATGAGGGAGGCATTAATCAAGTAAGTATAGAGAGTTGTTCTAAATTTTATCTCATGTACCTGACCTTTGAATTTAATCATATGGCATTGTCTTATCAGAAAGTCAGATGAATGGCCTTGGGAAAAGAAGACACCAAAGGCTTTCTTCAGGGGATCAAGGTACCATTCAGAACTCAAGATAATGGCTGGTCAGTCACCAGCCCGGGGGGGGGGGGGGGGGGTCTTAACACTGGAGAGCAATAGTATTTCAATTTTTTCCCTCCTTGCAAGAGAAATAGAAAAAAAAAACAGTTCTTAATATCAAAATACAATTGCTTTATTTTGAATAATATTCACAGAGCTTCTTATTAAGGATGGGGTGGTGATGACGTGAGAGAAAAACGGCATTTCTTAAATGCTTTTGCGCCCGGATAGTTCAAAGAGGTTAAATGTAAAGGATTCCTAACGAAACCATGGCTTCAGGAATTCTTGCGAAAATATGTTACTATCCTGGAATTAACTTAATCCTTTTATATACGATTATGTAAGACCGACCGAGGACTTTGGACTTAAGACTTGGAGAACAATGCTCAAAAGAAAGAATGTTGAAAACTTTGTGTGTGAGTGTGTGTGTGGAATGTAGGAACAAAAGAAAGAATGTCGATTTTTTCTTTTTTTCTTTTTTGTATA